GGGGGGGTGGTCTGGCCCCCCAGCCCCGAGAGCTGGGCGAGGTGGGGGGTGTGCGCCGTGCGGCGGGGACCTGGGAAGTCGGGGAGCCCCGTCCCCGCCGGGGGGTGTTGTCCCTCCATCCCTCCGCGCAGGGGGAGGGGAGCGCCGGCTCTGTTTACAGCCCGGGAAGGCTGAGCGCTCCGAAGCGCCGCGGCGTGGGTCGCAGCGGGGCCGCGTGGGGGGGTCAGGGAACCGGTGAGGGTGTCGCGCAGCCCAGCCCCCGGGAGCCCTGTCAAAATCCTGGAGCCCCGACCCCGCCGGGCGCAGGGTGTGCCTGTGGCAGGGGATTTGCAACCGGTCCGAGGTGATTTCCAGCATCGCTGGGCCTGCTCCAGCCTGCGCTGGGCAGGTGGGTGTGCAGGGTGCCCCGCGGGAGCCTCACGAAGGCGACCGGGTCTGGGAGAGGGCCGTGGTGCTGTAGAGCAGCGTGGGGGCTGGCCCCCGGCTGGGACCCCGGAGCTGCCTTTGTCCTCCGTCCTCTCTGGGACTGCCAGAGTGGGGATGCCTTTGTGTGGCCCACACCGTCGTTTAGGGGTGCGTGGGTGCTGGTGGGGAGATTGGGGTCCCAGCTGTGCGGCAGAGGTGCGTGTTGACGATACCCTGCCAGCCCACACACTGCTGCCAGGGCCGAAGGGCTGTTCCCTGCCCCGCTGCCACGGCCGCCTCTCCCCTGCCGAGGGGACGTGTGTGCACATGTTGTTTTCGTCCTCAGCGTTGCTTAAGGCACCACAGGCCGTTGGGCAAGGGCTGCCCTTAAGCCATGCTTCTAGTGGCTTCACCCTCCTCAAAGAGCAGCTTTGGGCTGGGCGGGACCCCCGCCACCTCCCACCACAGTCGCTGGGGTCCCGGGCAGTGCTGCGCTCTGTCCCCTGCATGGGACCGTGCTCCCACGTGCAGCACAACTGGGCATCCACATCCCCTGGGGTCCCTCTCCAGCCCTGCCGCCATTCCCCACTCAGCAGAGAGACCCCAAGACCTGGCTCCTCTGCAGCCACAAGAGAGGTGTCCTGCGAGGGGCCATGGCAGGCGTACAGAGGGGTCTGTATCCTCCGTGCTCGCTCCTGCCCCTGTGGAGCCATAGCCTTTCTGCTGGCCAGGTTCCTGCTATTGATCTCTGGCTTGGAGCGCACGGCAGAACCCCGGAGCAGAGGGAGGCATTTAATAATGTCAGGCATGGATATGGCTCTTTAATAATGGATGCTCCCGTGTCTTGGCCAGGCCACGGTCTGTCTTTGCCTTGCTGTTTCTGTTTTCCTGGGCCCTGCGGGAGCCACAGAATGCTCCTTGTCCCACCCATTGTTTGTGTTCTTGTGAGGCCGCTTGCATGTAGGATTTGGGGGACCGGCGGAGGTTGGGGGGTGGGAGCAGGATCAGGCGGCAGGAGCCGACGTGTGTGCATGCTGAAGAGGATGCAGGGGCAGGAGGGGGCCAGATGGGGCTTTGTGCTCATGCGGTGGGTTGAGTCCAAGAGCTCAGCAGGATGGTGGGGCAGGCCTGGGATGTGAGCTGGGGTTTGGCTGCCTGAGCTTGCGACGAGGATGGAGCTTGGCAGGGCAGTGCAGGACCTGTTTTCCTCCCACAACCCTTGTTCCTGCTGTTGCTTTTCAAGGCTGTTGGCTCACGGCTCCCTCCTCTGTGTGGCTGCTGGGTCCTGCCTCATTCCAGCCTTGGTGGGTGTGGGGGACAGGGAGGGAACCTGGACATCTCCATCCCTACGCAGGTAGCTCAGCCCTGGTGTGCAGCTGAGCCAGGGCCAGGCAGGGTGCTGGGCTACCGGCACAGGCACCTGACTGTCCTCCAGCATTAAAGCCAAAGCGTTCAGCGTGTCTGAGCCCTGGTGTCCCAAGCTAGTGCCTGGGTTGAGCCTTATCCTGCTCAAGCCAAGCACTTCTCTCAGAAAGGCTGTCTGGAGTGGACAGGAGACACCAGTGATGAAAAGCTGCCCTTTTCCCCGGGGGTTGTTCCCAGCTGGTCCCCTGCTGTGCTGCAGAGCTGGGTCCTTTCCCTCTGGAGCAGCTGGTTCTCATTGCCTTTCCCTGTGCGATTTCAGAGGTGCCAGGCCCACCTGTTTTCTCGGGTACACGGACATTGCAGCGAGCCACCTCTCCACCTCCAATAGACTGAACAGATTGAGCCAGGTGTGTTTGTGCCGGACATTTTCTCCAGCCCTTAAACCACTGTTGCATCTCTTCCCCAGATCCCTCTCTTGCTTTCTCATGTGCAGTCTGCAGCAGACACGGGGGCTGCTGGCAGCATCCTGGCTTCGCTCTCCTGGGGGCTGTATCCAGAGGTCTTCACTCATCCAGCTCTGCACCTTGTGCCCTGCTGCTGCAAATCCTCTTGGAGACGCTGCTTCCCCAGACACAGCCCTTCGGTGTGCTTGGCCCTGCACCCCATTTCCACAGTGCTGGGAGGGGGATTAGCAGCTCCCAGCATGGACAGAGCTCAGGAGAGGGCTTCAGTGCCACTGCCACCCGCCCATCTCCACTCGCTTCCCCACCAGCCTTTGAGGGTTTACGTTTACTCCCAATTTACTGGGCGCAAATAATCACACAACTCCCTCCCTCTTATCTGCTACCCTTCATCAGCGGACCTTGCCTTGTTTTACAAAGGAGGGTGGAGCGGCATGACACAGATGGGAAAACTGAGGCAGGCGGAGGTGGAAGCGAATTTGCCGAGGTCAGCCAGCCACGGCAAGGCCGGGAGCAGCCTGGCCCCACTGTCGCCACTCGGGAGCCCCGGGGAACTGGACACACGTTGTGCTGAGCAGCCGGGGACCTGCCAGCACCTCTCCTGCACTGTCACAAGGCATGCTCTGGGCTTGCTGGTGAGGGCCCGCCACAGCGGTGTGACTCCGGCGCTGCCCCAGCTCCTGGTGTGCCTGCGGTGCCGATCCTGGGAGCATGGGAGGTGAGGGCTGCTGATGCTCAAGCATTCACTGGGAGTGGGTTCTGCATGCCCTGTTCCTTTCATTTCCCTGGAGGAAGTCTGGCTTGACCAACTCCGCCTTTTCCCAGTCCCACCCAGTAAAAGACCTGTTGCACTACTGGGATTCCCGTGAGCTCAGGCGCAGCCATTGCAGACAGCTATGATATTACCGATGGCGTTGCTAGCTGCCTTACCTGCCCTCCCGTCTTTCCCCGCCGGACTCACCGGGGCAAGGGATGCAGGACGATGTCCCTGCGTGATTGTGCCTTGCCTCTGCTGGGCTGGGCTGCGGCAAGGGGATGTGCGCTGAGTGGGGCTATGTGCGAGCCTGTCCCCAGCGTGGGGTGCAGGGGGGGCTGGCTGCTGAGACCCCTGAGTGGGGAGGTGGCACGGGGGCTTCGCCCCATGTCTAGACAGGAGCGCAGGCTGTGGGGAGGGAGCAGGCCGTCTGCTCGCTCTGATTAGCATGCTCTTTAAATAAGACTCTAATTTCCGCTGTTAAAAGAGCTCAGATCCCTTGTGCCCAGGCTGGGGCTGCAGCCAGCCCCATCCCATCCCCCAGCCCCACTTGCTGGCAACAGATGGGATGGGGCTGACATGCTATGGCACCCCAGCTTGGCCACGGTACCCCCATGAAGCACCCAACGGAGGGGCCGTGTGGGGTGCTGGGGGACATTGGCAAGGGGCGAGGGCTTGCCTGGCTCCTGCGTGGCTTGTCCCCCTCGCCCTGCACCACCCCCCCCACACCCCAGCATGGCTGCCCGGCTGAGCTCAGCTCCGGGGAATGCGCTGGGATTCCTGGGCGCCGTGCCAAAGCATGGAGAGGCAAGGGAGGACGCTGGCCTGCCTGGGGAGCCTCTGCTGCCCACTGCCTTCCTCGGATAGCAGCGGGGAAGGAAACCCCCTTAGTAAGGGGCTGCATCCCACCTCGGGTCGTGGCTTGCTCCCTCCTCTGCTACACCTGCTTCTGGAGGGCAGCCAGGGCGTTGGGAGGATGCTAGCACCTGGCCAGACTGGGTAAACTGGCCAGTGCATGTGGGAGGCCGTGGGAAGCCCAAGGGAGCATAACCCGTTCCCTGCCAGCCTGGGCAGGGGCTCACCTTGAGCTGTGGAGCATGCAGGGGAGATGGCAGGATGGGGCCTCACAAGCGAGTTCAGGGTGCTGGGCACCCTCAAGGAGGTCTTGCTCCATGTGTGTGAGGCTGGGGCTGTCCTGGGAGCCCCTAGAGCCCTCTCTGCCCCTGGGGACAGAGTCCTGAAGCAGACCACTAGGGCAGGGCTGTGCTGGCTGGGGGCTCTTGAGGTCCCTGGGAGAAATCCCAGGGAAGGGTCTTTCACCAGACCTTCTCTCCCCGAGGCTGCCTCTCCTCCAGGATTAAGGTGTTAGACGCCGTGCAGCTCCACTTGGACCTGACCCAGCCTATTGCAATGGCAGGAGGCTTATTAACGAGGAATTAAGCCATGGGCACGTCCCAGCTATGTGGGGCTGAGCCAGTGCCCACCGGGGGCTGCTCGCTGATGCAGGGATGCTGCTGCTGATGGGGACCTGGCCAGCCCCACGGTGGACGGCCACCAAGTGCCAGCACTGTGCGTGCCGCCCAGTGTTCCTATCGTGGGCGCGTGGTGCCAGAGCCTTGCCGCCCGCAGCCATCCTGGCGGGGCCAAGCCTGCCTGCATCTTCGAGCCGGGTGCTGGCGCCTGACAGCTGCTGGTGCCAGCCAAACCAACCAAGCCAGTCCTGCCAGCCCGGCACGGCGTGGGAAGGGAAGGCAGCACTGCCGCCGGGTGAGCTGAGTTGGGAGCGCTGGGCTTTGCTGGGCAGCACCCAGCACCGGGGGCTTGGTGGGGCTTGGGGATCCCGCCGGCCTCATCCAGGCTCTGGCTTCCTTGTCCCTGGCTCTGCAAGGAGCTGGAGGGGCAAAGGGATACCCTGCCCACCCTGCTTTGGCCAGGGAGGTCCCCTCCTTAAAACCGGCACAGCCACCAAAGCCAGGCTAGGAGCCCCGTTTCTGTGTTTGGTGCTGCCTCCAGCTGCCCTGCACACAGGGATGAGGTGGACAAAAGGCAGCGATGGTGGGGATGGGACGGGGGTGCCCCTTGCCCTGCCAGCTGGTGCAGGTGTGGGCAGGGAGCCCTAGGACACTGGGATGGGGCTGACAGCAGTGCCAGGTGCTGCAGGACAGTGATGGGGTGGGGTGAGCAGGGTGATGGGCATGGGGAGGACCTGGGGTGCCATTAGATGGGGAGCCCTGGGTGTGCACAGGGCTGGAGGAGCCATGCTCCCCACAGCGGGGACTGCGCCATCACCTTGGGATGGGCTCTCCCTGAACCCAGGAGCTTTGTCCAGTGCTCAGTGAGAAGGAGGTGTGGGGGAATCCATCCTCCTTTCTCCCCACAGCGTGGTGGGGGGCCGGGATGGGGACCCACAGTGACAGTTGTCTGGGGGGTCCCCTCCTTGCTCATCCAGGGTCTATCCTGATCTCTGCTGCCACACGGACCCTGCCTGCAGGCCAGGAGTGCCGGCTGGCTGGCTGCAGGTGACGCAGGTGTAACAGGAGCGGGGTGCCCACGGGCAGACGGCTGCTGAATTATTCAGAGCCTCTCCACGAACTCAATGAGCTGGTGGTGGCACGGCGGGGTCGGAATGGGCTAGGCTATTGTCTCTTGCTTCCGCTCTGCCTGGGGCTGGTTTGGCCTTGGTGCACCCATACCTGTAAAGGGATCTTTATAAAGCACTAATTTCCCCCCAGGCCCTTTGGGAGGGGGAGCTACTGCCCATCCCCTGGGTATTGGGTGCTGGATGGGTCCCCATCTCACTGTGCACCCCAGGACAACTGCTGCCCAAAACAACGCCAGCCATGGGGTAGGAAGAGAGCCCCAGAGCGTCCCAGCACACCAGCCTCCCCCTGTTGTGATGGGGACAGGGGCCAAGCTGTGAGCAGGATGGGGGACACGAGGGACCCTTCCTCCAGCCAGGCCCCCCCGTGTTTTGCCTGGGGAGGTGATCCCTAAGGCGGGGTGGGGGGGAAGGGGAGGCAGGGGCTGGCACCGGCACAGCAGCCTCAATCGGCATCGACTAAAAAGGAGAAGAGTGAGGAGCTGACGGCAGCGCCGAGGAATGCCTGTGCCTCCATGCACAGCTCAGTGTGTGCTGGGGGGCAGCTGGGATCTGCTGGGTTGTCCCCCCCTACCAGCTGCTGCTCCAGGAGGGTCCCATCCCACCCTGAGCGCCCGTTCAGGAGGGGACCCTCAGCACTGGTTCGGCCCCCTCCAGCGCGGTGCTGGGGCGGTGCTGGGGCAGGGGATCCCGTGCTTGTCCCTCGCTCTGCAAGGACGGGGGTGTCCATGCTTGGCCACGCTCCCAGCTGCTGTTCCTGGTGAGGGGCCAGGCTTCCAGCTCGCATGACAGCGACGGGCTGGGGCCAGCTAAATATACAGTGTTGTCCGAGCGCCGTGCCCCACCAGGCTAGGGTCATGCACCAGGGTGGTGTTGGCCGCCCCTGGGGCTGGTTCAAGGGGCAATGTGCCCCCTCTGTCCTCCACCCCATGCTGGTAGCATCTGGCTGGGTGGTCCTGACCTGAAAAAAGCTCTTCCTGGTGTGCCCCAATCCTGCACCTGCCTGTCCTTGCAGCAGGATTGGGGTCACAGCTTGCAGGAGCTGCTGTGGCCTCTCCGGGAGGGCTGGACAGTGTAGCATGGAGGGGTCAGGACAGCAAGCGGGGTGCACTGGGGAGGATAGAGATGTGCATCATCGGCACTGGCAGTCCTTGGGGTGCTGCTGTGCCAGGAGAGCTCCCCCCATAACCCTGGCAGTCCTTGGGGTGCTGCTGTGCCAGGAGAGCTCCCCCTGTAACCCTAGCGGTCCCTGGGGTGCCCTGTGCTTTGGGTGCATGGGGTGCTCAGCTCCTACCTCTAGGGCTGGGGTGGATGCCGGGTGCAGGCTGGTGTCTGGGGTAACTGTGGAGACACGTGGGGCTCAGCCTCCCTTGTACCTCCCTCCAGGTGCGGCACCGCCAGTCGGGGCAGATCATGGTGCTGAAGATGAACAAGCTGATCAGCAACCGAGCCAACATGCTGCGGGAGGTGCAACTGATGAACCGTCTCTCGCACCCCAACATCCTCAGGTAGGACCTGCTCCCCCACTGTCGTCCCTGTTGCCCCCCCGTTTCTCTAGCCTGGGGGATTGGAGCTACCACTGGCACTGGATGAGCTCCTGGGGCAGGTCCCCTCCGCAGCTACCCTCAGGTCCCCTCTATCTCGCAGGTTGATGGGGGTGTGCGTGCACCAGGGACAGCTGCATGCGCTGACAGAGGTGAGAGCGGGGCAATGGCTGTGAGTCTTGGGGTTCCTGCAGGCCTGGGGAAGGGACAGTGATGGCCCTGGGGACATTTTCCAGCCCATGGCACGCATGCAGGGCAAGGTCTACTGGGGGGCTGTGTCATAGGGTGGTTGAGGGATGTGTTGGCGTGAGAGGTGGGCGTCCAGCATTATGGGAGGGAACTGGGGAGCAGTGATGTGGCGGCCTGGCTCTTCCCATCAGTACATCAACGGTGGGAACCTGGAGCAGCTGCTGGACAGCGCTGTGCCCCTCTCCTGGTCCATACGTGTCAAGCTGGCGCTCGACATTGCCTGTGGCCTGCGCTACCTGCACTCCAAGGGCATCTTTCACCGTGACCTCACCTCCAAGGTACAGAATGCTCCAAGGCATCCCATTGTCCTCGTCCCATACCCTTGTTGCTGCCCCAAGCATGGCCGGCTGGGGAGCAGGAGGCTGTGCTGTGCGGTGCGGTGGCCAGTGAGGCAGGGCTGGTGCGGTTGGTGTGACGGGGGGTCCTCCTGTGCCCCCAGAACTGCCTGGTGCGCTGCGAGGCCAATGGCTACACGGCTGTAGTGGGTGACTTTGGCTTGGCGGAGAAGATCCCCACCTACAGGTGCGTGGGCAGTGTCCATCCCCATCCTTGGAGTGGGGGGTTTCCAGCCCACTTGGAGCAGGAGCTGGGGAGGGATGGACATTTGGGATGTGGCTAGAAGGGCAGGGATTTGGGGTGGTGGGGGTAGTCCCCGGCAGTGGGGACTCATGGGGCAGATGGACACGTTTGGAGCTGTCTAAGAGGGGATGGAGAAGGGGATGGTGTGGGCGGGGAGAGATGAGTTTGTGGGTTGCGTGGAGAAGGGTTAGCCCAGGAAGGGAGATGGAGATGGTGATTTGGGCTGCCCCAGTGGGAAGATGGGAGGTTGGACAGGGACAGGGGACTGTGGGCAGCCCTTGATGTCTCACCATGTCTCCCAGTGAGAACAGCGAGAAGGAGCCTCTGGCTGTGGTGGGCTCCCCGTACTGGATGGCACCTGAGGTGCTGCGAGGGGAGATCTACAATGAGAAGGTGAGGCTCCGTGGCTGCCGTGCGTGGGGCTTTATCCAGGCTTGCGCCGCCAGTGGTTTGCAGGATTTGCAGCCCTGGGGGTGGTCGGAAACACAGAGGGAAGGAACTGGGCATCCCCGGGTGGCGAGGTCGCAGGGTCCCCCGGTGTGGCTCTGCAGGGAGAAGGGGGGCTGTGGGTTCACAGAATGGTGGGCAGATCACCTCGGGGCTGCAGGGCCCCCCGTGACTCCCTGCTCTCTGCAGGCCGATGTGTTCGCGTACGGCATCATCCTGTGCGAGACCATCGCTCGTATCCCCGCTGACCCTGACTACCTGCCCCGCACCGAGGTGACTCCCTGGGATGGGGATGGGGAGGGAGGGTGGCGGGCAGCAGCACGGGAGCTGGGACCGCTTCACCAAGTGAGGGGGATCATCCTTCTGTGCTGGGCAGAGCCCTGTGTGCAGGAGCTGCCCCGCATCTCACGGCAATGGTGTTGTGTCCCAAATGCTGCCCGGAGAGGGATGCTCTCTGCCAATAACCTGTCCTCGGAGCCCGTAGTCAGCCTGGGTGGGAGAAGGGGACAGTTGGATTCAGGCAGAGAGCAGTAGGGATCTGTGTCCCAGCATCCCCCAGCCTTGCTCCAACTTGGGGTGACCCCAGGGTCCCTTCTTGCTGTGCCCCAGCCAGGGCACTGCCAGGTCCACAGCCCTGGGTGTCACACAGTCATTGTGGGGAGGAGGGACCAGGCCATCCCAGGTAGCCTGGTCTGTGTGGTGCCCCAGGGGACCCACTCTTCTTTCTCTTGGCACAGAATTTTGGTCTGGATGTCGCCACTTTCTGCACCATGGTGGGAATCGACTGCCCGGCAGCCTTCCTCCAGCTCGCTTTCCACTGCTGCAGTGTGAGCCTCCATCTCCACTGTCCTTCCCTGCCTGGGCAGCCGGGCAGGACAGGCAGCCTTGCCTGCACAGGGGGAGAAGCAGGGAGCTGCCATAGCTGGGCAGCTTGGGGTGCTTGAGGGGGGCCGCAGACCTGACGGGGAACCCCTCCTGCCCGCAGATGGAGCCCACCTCCCGCCCCTCATTCCTGGAAATCACACAGTGCCTGGAGGGCATCCTGCAGCACCAGCCAGGCGCTGAGGGCACCGGGGCCACCCTCTCTTGCAGCGGGGAGAGCCTGCCTACGCCTGGGACGGCGGGCACGCTCAATGGTATGTGGGCACCCTGGGGACAGACCACGGTGGGGTGCCAGGAGCGGGGATGTGGGTTGTCCCATCCTACCCCAGCAGCTGTAGTGGAAGGAGACAGGGGTTGCATGAGGTCTGCAGGATGGAGCCAGTCACTGTTCCCCCCCCTCGGGGTGCTCCCCTGGGTTGTTGGGTGCCTGGCACCCCGTGGCACCCCACGCCGGCAGCTGGTGACCCGCTTCTGTGCCCGTGCCCAGGGGTAGCCGGGAGGGCAGCCGGCCGCGCCGAGCAGTCGCCCCTGCGCGAGCTGGGGACGCAGCACCTACAGCCAGACCAGCGCCTGTCTCGCAGCCAGTCCGACATGTTCTCCCCCAAATCGCCCACGCTGCTGCAGCCCCCGGAGCCTTGTGGCGAGGCCAGGACCAAGGAGACGTCCCCCCGCGTCAATCCCTTCTCCCAGCGCGAGGACCTGAAGGGAGGGAAGATCAAGCTCTTCGACACACCAAGCAAGTCGGTCATCTCGCTTACCTTCGACCTGCCGCCTCCTGCCCCGCTCCAGCTCAGTACCCCCGTGACGCCCGATCCCGCCGTGGAGGTGCAGTGTGACTTCTCGGCCCCCACTGCCACCCCCCGCAGGTGCCACTCGCTGCCCGCCTCCCCCGAGCTGCCCCACCGGGGGGGCCTGGCGCTGGGCGTGGGGTCCCCCCGTCCTGACGACAACCCCCAGCCCCCTGCCCTCCTTCCTCCCCCAGCCTGGGGACGAGCCCCCCCCCTCTGCCCCAGGGTGGAGGAGCAGACGGACCGCGGCCCCGAGAGCCCCGAGCCGCTGCAGCCCCCTCCGCCACCCCCCAACAGCAACTTCATCCGCACAGCATCCTCGGGCGCCCAAACCTGGCAGCCAGAGCCGCAAGCCCCCAGTGGGCTCTTTTTCAACAACAACCACGTGGTGGTCAGCAAACCCCTGGCTTGGGGGAGCGGGCTGGAGCACGGCTTCTCCGAGCTTAGCATCCCCAGTACGGCGGCGCTGGAGCAGACGGAGCGTGCGGCCATGCTGCCCGGGCACAGCTCCGGCACCGCGCTGGAGCAGGACGAGGTGCTGCCGTGCCCCGGCTGCTGCCTGGGTCCCTTCAGCTTCGCCTCCGTCTGCCACCGGCCAGCACCCAGCCCGCCCCGCTACCAGAACCTCAGCTGCGAAGCCAAGAGCCTCCTCTGCCATGACCGGGGCCGCCACCAGAAAGCCCCGGGGCCGGTGCTGGCGGAGCCCAGCCTGAAGCTGCCGGAGGCGCAGTCCTAGTGGCGGGGACCCCCGGGGAGAGGGGCCGCATCGGGCCGCCCCTCGGACCCTTCCGCAGCCACAGTGCAGGGCAGGCGTCGGAGCCTGGCGCGTCCCCACGGTCTGTCCTTGCTCTCTCCGTGCTTGGTGGCCGCCAGTGGCCGTGGTGCCCCGTGCTGTGGCCGCCACGGCGCTGCCCAGGCGCTCGGGCACACGTCCCACCAGGATTGGCCTCGGGGGTCTGCGGGGAGCCCTGGGGGCGGGCTGGGTCCCTGCCGGGGACTGAAGTGCAATAACACCCCTGCCCCAAGTGAGCTCCAGCACCGGCCCAGGCGGCAGGGCTGGTCCCCCGCGGAGCCCCCGGGGCTCAAACCCTGGATGCAGGACCCCACTTCCCTGAGGGCTCACCCCTCTGTGGGCTCTCACAGAGGGGCGTGCAAAGAGCCTGCTCCCCTGGGAGAACCCCCAGGCTGGGGGGTGAGCGGGGCCAGGCTAGGGGCAGAGGGGTCAGCGTGTGTATGTGTGTGTTGAGGGACCCTGTGGGGCTGGTGGGTATCCCCATGTATCCCCACAAGCGTGGGGAGAGCAGCTGGCCCCTGACACGGGGAAAGGCATGTAGGGGGCCAGGAGAGAGGTGATGCCCATGCAGCAGTACAGGGGGAGGATTGCCAGTGCTGGGGTTGCCCCTGCCCACCCAACGCTGAGGGCTGGGTGCTGAGTCACGTCCCCCCGACACATGGGGTTGGCAGTGGGGTGCTGGCCGAAGGAGTGGGTGCCATCCTGGCACCAGGGGAAGGGGCCAGTGGGCAGCACAGATGGGCTGCCCAGCCCCTGGCAAGGGTGGGAGCCGGCTTTCCTCCCTCCTGCACAATGCACTGGTGAATGCAGAACTCTTGTGTTTTTTATTATTAATAATAATAATTGCTAGTAATATATACCCAGCTTATTTAAAGTGTTCAATAAAAACTGAATGTCCCAGCAACTCAGGCTGCCGCTTCTGTCTCTTAGATGCACGTCAGACCCAGAGGGGAGCCTGGCCCCACAAGGTTGCACAGGCTTCCTTGGGGCTTCTGGGAAGCCCCTCAGGGACCACAAGCCAGCCTAGCTCAGCCCAAGATCTCCATGTCCCCAAAGTGGCCATCTCAGTTGAAATGGTTTCAGTCAAATTCCCATTTATTATTTAGCTTCTTTGGGTTCATGCCTTTGAGTCCGTGTTTGTGGTGGTACACAAGAAAGCAAAGAGCAGACAAACCGTGTCTCTTTATTGCTACAAAGTGGGTGCAGCCAGCGGACAAAGAGTGACATGTGCCACCTCCAGAAAGCCTGCCTTTAACACTCTCTTGCTCTTCAAGCAAGCTAATTCACACAGCAATTAACTATATATGGCACACACGACACTGTAATAAACTGAGAGTGTCTTTGCCTGATTGAACATGACTTCCTCTGCTCTTGCCTGGCTGCAATGTTACATCAGGGCTATTTTGCTTAATCTGTGCGTGTGCACATGTGTAGTAACTATTTAAAGTCCTGATGTAGTAACTATTTAAAGTCCTGATGACTTGTCTCGCAAAGCGTCAGTCCGCTGCAAGTGCCAGTTGCTTTTGCTTTTGAAAGGCACCATCACATCGTACAATCCTAAAGGTCATTGCTCTACTTTCTAATCAGCAAAAAAACCTTCAACTGCCAGCACAGGCACCAGCTGGTTCAGGCGCAGCTTCCCCCCTTGGGCGCCAAGGCTTTGCCAAGGCTATTGCTTGCTGGGATGCCTGAAAGCTGTGGCCAAGCTGCTCCTGGGATGGGCCCAGGCAGAAAGTTCCTGCTGTGGGGAGGGGACCTGGCCGGCTGTGGGGCTGGGCCGTCCCCTACTCCCACGTCCTTCCCTGCCAGCACCGCAGCTCACTCTGTGCTGGGGATATTACATGGCTGCAGCGCTAAGCATCAGGACTTGCTCTGCTCTGTGGCTGGGTCTGGGCTCCCCATCGTACACCAGCCCCTGTGCTCAGGAAGACCCAGCATACACCATGCAGGTGTGGGGCTGAGCTGTGGGGCCCGTACTGCTCTGTTGAAGCACATCAGCTGGGGGGGAAATGGCCACTGCTGCCTCTTCCCCCAGCCTCCATGATGCTGGAGCATCATGGCATTGCTGGGAAGGACCTGGGCAGCCCATGAGCAGGGGTCTGTGAGAGGGAAGGGGGTTGCTCGCATGGAAGGGACGTCGCAGGTGGGGGGGCAGCAAGGCTGAAGCGGAGGCGGTGCAGGGTGCAGGCGCTGCAAGGGAAGGCAGAGGGTGAGGTGCTTGCCCAGCCTCCATTGCACACAGCAGGGGCTGGAAAGGCAGCTTGCAAAGGATTTTCCCCCATATTGCCCCTTTGCTGCACCACAGCTTGCAGGGGTCTTTTGAGCTACCACAGACCAGGGGCTCCCATGGCAGCGAAGGGATGGAGGCAGGCTCCACGCAGCACAGGAAGGTGCCTGCATCCCTATCCCTTTCCAAGGGAGGGGGTCAACATGCCCCATGCAGAGCCCCAGGCTCGCCGCTTTCCTCCATACACACCCCACGGGCCCCGCGCACCCCAGGGCTCAGCAGAGCCTGGCAGGGGCACACTCACCGCAGCGGTGCTGGGGTCAGCGGCCATCACCCCATGAAAGGGGAGCTCGGCCCTGCCGCCTTCTCACAGATCCAGAGGTGCAGGTCGTCGGGACCGGCGCACTGAGCGGGTTTGATGTTCCCGCGGCTTATTATGGCACAGGATCCGTTTGACTTTGACTGCCATGGCCTGGATGGGGAAATGACACATTAGGGGGCTGCCACTGCCCTATCTGCTACCCACTGCCGAGGCAGCTGTGGCTGCTGACGGCTGCCTCTTGTACAGTTGCATGGAAGGGGTTGATGCTGCAGTTGAAGTGGCGATCCCCCAGTCCTCTCCTACTGATTTCACAGGCTGAAGCCTCAGCTGACACATCTCTGCTGTTACTTGGGCAGGCTGAGAAACCCCTCTGCAAAAGGCTTGCATTGCTTGTGACTCCCCTTAGCCTCCCCCCTGCTTGAATCTCAGCCTCGCTGCTGGGGGTATTTCATCCCTGCAGCACCCAGTGGTGGGGAGAGGCCGGTCCTCCCCAAGGTCATGTGGATGGCCAGAGGAGCTGCCCCGGGCCACGAGGCCGTGGTGGGGTGCAGCCCCCCATGGTGGGGCTGAGGATGGAGGAGCGTCAGGCAGAGGGTAGGGGCTGGGTACCCAGCACCCAGCCAGACGGGTCTGTTCCTCCCCACTGCTCTCAGACACTGCAAAAGGAAGCGGTGGTGAGCTGGGGAGGGGGTGCACGTGGTGGGGAGGAGCCCGGGACCCTCTGCAGGCGGGAAGGCTTGATTTCCCCTTGAGGAGGAACCAGCCACGCATGTGGGAGACAGAGGAGGTGCTCGAACGCTTTGTCTAGACCCCAAATAAAACTTGTGGTTTCTTTTGTCCCCTCTCGCTGCCTCCTGCTTGCACGTGCCCCTCTAAGTCTTGGCTTTCCATTTGCACAGCCTCTAAGCACCTCATCACACCACTGCACCCACCTCCCCTTGGCCTCAGCTGCTTTGATGCTCTTTGTTGCCTGGTGCTTGTGCCTGGGGCCGGGTACCAGCGGGATTTAAAATGCTCCCTAAAGCTGTGCTGGAAGAGAGGGGGTTTTGTCAAGAGGCTGTGCTGCCAGGTACCTTTCATAAAGGGAGCCGTCCACCCAGAACCAGGCATCCGACACCCCATCACCATCCGGGTCCTCTTCCTCCAGCCAGCCATAGTCATACCAGGGAAAACTGCCCTTCTGCAGCCCAATCCAGTATGGGATGTCTGCGTTCTTCAGGAAAGCCTGGGGAAGGCAAAAAAGGGCCTTTTAGTGGCTTTTCCATGGTACCTATGTGCTGCAGTGTTTGCAGGGGGTGGTTATCTCCCCAAGGAGCCCCTGGGGCTGGAGCTCCCTGGGGCAGGACAGCTGAGCAGCACTGGTGCCCTGCTCCAGCTTGGGCAGCATCCAGGGGTGCCAGAGCATCTCTGCCCTATTTCCACCAGCAGCCATGCGCTCCAGAAATCAGCCTTGCACCCTCCAATGTTTCGGCAGGCCAGGGGCCCCCGGACCCAGAGTGGTGCTGGCCCACCTGGGAGCCCAGAGCTGGATGCCCCAGCTCCTGCCCTCAGCTCCCCCAGCACCCTACCGGCACAGTCCAGCGAGTCCAGGATTTGGTGACCAGGAGCTGAGAATATTTCTTGTCACACTCATCTCTGCTGTCCTCCCATGTCTTCTTCTCTGACGAGATGAAGAGGCACTTGCCCCTGTATAGCAGCCAGCCAGAAGGGCAGCAATCTGGGGGCAGGGGCACAACTCAGGTACTTGCTCAGCTACAGATGCCCTGGGGGGGGGACCAGAAACAGCCCCACATATTCCCAGCAGGCGTCACAGGCTCAGCCTCTGCTCCAAGCATAGCTTCAGCCTTTGGACCACCCTGTCCCTACCATGTGGCCAAAAAAGCAGGGGCTTGTGCCTTGGCACTGTACCTGCTGAGAGGTGCCAGTCCTCTGGGGCACCCATCCCTGCTACACCATCGCCCTACCTATAGCCGTGCAGGACCGCAGGATGGCCACAGTGCTCTCACTGTTGTTGAGCTCCCTCTGCACCTCCTGCATCTCCTTCTCCATCTTCCCCAGGATCCCCCTGGTGCGCCCCAGCTCGGCGTTCAGGCTCCCCAGCTCCAGCTGGCTGCTGTTGCCCTCCCGCCAGGCTCGCTGCAGCTCCTCTCTGGCCCACGCCAGCTCCAGCCGCGTCTGCTCCAGGCTCTGCTCCCGCGCGCTCACCTCCTGCGAGAGGCGGCCCTGCTCGGCCGCGTGCTCACGGGAGGCATCCTGCAGGCTGCGGGTGACCTGCCAGTCTGGGGACACGGGGGGTGAGCTGGGGCACGGGGATGGGACAGCCAGGGCATGGGGATGTGGGACTGATCCTGCTCGGGGGGGAGGATGGGCAGGGCAAGGCAGGGAGGTGTCCATGCTGGATGGGAAAGACATGGCAGGGAAGTGTACGTTCAGGGGCTGGGCAGGACCTGGCAAGGGAAGAGCAGGGCAAGGCAGGACAGGGTGTAGGAGCAGACAGACAGGGCAGGGGCAGGGAGAGTACAGCAGTAGAAGGCTGGGCAACTGGAAGGGAAAGGAGCAGAAATGGCGAATGAGGTGGGGAATGTGGGTGATGGGAGGCAAGGGGGGTACCCATGATGTCCAAGGGATATGGGCCAGCTTGTGGCAGACAGGGCAGAGGGACACAGCCATGAGCAGTGTGTGTAGGCATGTCTCTGTTCACCCCCGCCATTCACCCATGGCACCCAGCCCAGCCCAGCTGCCTCCCTCTCCCCGTGCTGCCCAGCCAGCCCCTGCCCCAGAAGTGCCCACCCCCCAGACTCACAGCAAGCCCCCAGGGCCACAGTGGCCACCACCAGCAGCAGGCATGTTACCAGTAGCCCCACAGGGATGCACAACCGCCAGGGCCAGCGCCCTGCAAGACACAAATGACCACAGGCGTCAGCTGTTGAGCTGGGAAACCCCTGGCAGCCCCCAGACCTCCTGCCTGCTGGCAGAGGAGTGGTAGCATGATGGCACAGGTGGCACAGTGTGGGCGCTTCCTCTTTTCAAGGATGGAAGTGGGAGCACCCCAAAACACCACCCACTGCCCACGCCAGGACCTCCCCGGATCCCCTGGGCTCCAGCTGGGCACTCACCTGGGCTGGGCTGGTCCTCATCCCCATCCTGCCCCGCTGGTGCCGATTGCATGTTCTCGTAGGGGCTCTCCGCTTCATCCATGCCAAGGGCTGTTGGAGGAAGGCAGGGGAGAGCGGTTGAGTCCACGGGGCTGGGCATGGCGGGGGCATTTCCGGGGGGGGGTCCCATGGGCTCTCACCTGCCTCCAGTGCCTGGCTGGCCATGCTCCGGCCCCCCATCACCTTGGCAAACCTCAAGTCAGCATAAACCACGCTCTGGGCCATGTGGGCAAGCACTGGGCAAGCCCTGAGCCCTGCTGGCTCCCAGCCTGCCCTTGGGATGCCTTTGTGGGATGGTCCTCCTCCCTGGTGATTGTGCCGTCTCTCGGGGTGCAAAGGAGAAGTGCAGCCAGTGTCTGCAGAAGCAGAAGTTTGCTCTGAGCTGCAGCAGATGGGACCAGCGAGGCACGGCTGGGGGGACCAGCACCCTCTCATTGGTCCCAGCGCCACTGGCCCATCCCCTCCCACGCCCCGAAAGTGGTCACGGTCCCCCCAGGCACATGGCAGCCTGAGGTCAGGGCAGGCAGAGCAAAGATGGAACCAAATCCCTCGGCCAAGAGAGAGCTGGGTGAAAGCAGGGCCAGCCTGGACACAGGAGCACATTGCCCTGGGGACAGCCCTGTGGAAGGCTGGAGGTCTTCGCGGATGCGGATTTCCCCTCCCGGCCTCTGGGAATGGGAATTTCCCCATGAGGTAGCTTGTGCCACTGCCGCTCATCCTCTCCCTGGTCCCCTCCTAGAAGACTCTGGCTCGGCATCTCTCCAACACCCCCCCCCAGAGAGTTGCATAGAGCAATGACACCTGCTTTGCCTTCCCTTCCCCAGACCACAACCCCACTACTCACAACATCTCTTCCTCGGTCCCAACATCCAGCCCCTCAGCATCTCAGAGGTTTCTACTGAACTGTATTTGGAGAAAAGCAGGTTTCAGAAGGGGCACTGAGTTGGGGACCAGCTGGGTACATCTGGACACAGCCAGTTGCTGGAACAGGACTGCAGGTGTGCAGGGGTGCTGGTGGAGCACAGCATTGCAAGGCCACTCTCCATCATCTCTGCAAGGGCAGGAGAAGTCCTTCATCACTGGAGAAAGGCAAAAATCATGGCCACCCTCAAGGAGGACAGGAAGGAGTTATGGAAAACTAAAGGTTGAGCAGCTTCGACGCAATCCCCAGGAAGAAGATGGAGCACATCCTCTTGGGCACACAGTGGTCCAGGCCCAGGGAGGACATGGCAGTGTCTGGGGGGAGCCCAGCAGAATTTACCAAGGGCAAGTGGTGCCTGCCCAACCTGCCTGCCTGCTGCTGTGGGAACACTGGGCTGGGGATGAGGGGAGAGCAATGGGGGCCATTTACCATGAGCCTTCAAGGTGTGGGACATGGTCCCCTGTGGTGTCCTTGCTGGCAGAGTGGGGAGATGTGGCCAGGAGAAGGGGAGAAGAGCAAGAGCTCATGCTGCAACATGGAAACCTGTTTTAGGCATTAGGGCAAACATTTCTGCATGGTAGTGATGCTCAAACGCCGGAGCAGAGCACAGACAGGGGGAACCTCCAGCCCCAGAGCCACATGTTCCCACGTGCGCTGCCCCAGGGATCTGGGTTGATTCTCAGTAGGCTGAGTCCTGCAGCTCTGCCCAATGCCCCAGCCTGGAGCTGTACCCCCCCACTGCCATCCCAGGGGACCCTGAGCAGTTTTGGGGCGTGGAAGGGGGCAGGATGGAAGCACCAGAGCCAATGGCAGGGCACTGGTCCCCGTAGCTGGGCTGTCCTGCTCCTGTCTGCCATACAGCACAGTAAACTTCTGCTTCTGCAGAAACCAGCCACACTTCTCCTTTGCAGGTCTGAGAGAGGGGGCAACTGCAGCAGAGCAGGAACCACCAGGGCCATCGGGGCAGCCCAGGGCATGGCCCAGAGCGTGATCTACGCCGACTTGAAGTTTGCCACAGCCCCGCCAGTCACGGCCCCCACCTGCCCCGCAGCCCCCGATGAGGACGACAGCCCCTATGAGAACGTGCCGCTGGGGACGGTGACTGCAGCACCCAGCCCAGGTGAGAGCCCAGCCACGGGCACCGCTGCGGGGATGCCCCGACATGGCGTGGGCAGTGAGTGGTGGCAGTGGGACCACGGGGTGATGCCCATGGGTGCACATCTCTTGCAGGGTGCTGGCACCGGCGTTGGCGCATCCCTGCACGGCTGCTGGCCGCCCGCCCGCCGCCGCGCG